TATATTAGAAAAGCACCACTGATAGACTATTGAAAAGAGCTCTATATAGCAAACATATAACATCTCTGAGAAGGCAGATTTTGAAATATAGAAGCCAAAAAAGACAATAAAATCAAAGAATACTAAGTTAGAAATAACATAAAACCTAACCATGCTTCTGAAGCATTGGCCATCTCTGAGAAAGCACAAAATCATGAAACTGAAATCTCAATAGGAAGAAATTCCATGGTAGTATTGAAGTGATACTTTAAAATATTATAAAGAAAAAACAAAATACATAATTTTTACACAGAGCAGTAAGTGCTATGATACTCATCCACTCAGTCAACAAGTCAATCTGTTAAAAGCATTTGTGTGCCATAAAATACGTGCTATATTTGTGGAATAAGATGATAACCAGGGCAGAAATATTTCCTCCATGGAACATATATTCCAGAAATCATTAAGATCTAGGTCAAAATGTTTCTCAAAATATAGAGTAAATCAAAATCATCCAGGTGCAAGTTCAAAATTCTGATGTCCATCCTTATGATGTTCAATAGGTATTGAGCAGAACTCAAGATCTGTTTTTAATAAGCTTTAATGGAAAGAGTGATGTTTTAGCTCTGCTACTAATTAGGTAGCAGCTTTGGGCACTGGTCACTTATCCTTGTTTCTAAGATGGGAATGAAGTGAAATGAAGTCAACATTGCTCAGTCGTGTCCAACTCTGCAACCCCATGGACTAGTCCGTGGAATTTTCTAGGCCAGAATACTGGAGTGGGTAGCCTTTCCTTTTTCCAGGGGATCTTCCCAAACCAGGGATCAAACCCAGGTCTCCTGCATTGTACGTATATTCTTTACCAGCTGAGCCACAAGGGAAGCCCAAGAATACTGGAGTGGGTAGCCTATCCCTTCAGCAGATCTTCCTGACCCAGGAATAGAACCAGGGTCTCCTGCACTGCAGGTGAATTCTTTACCAACTGAGCTATCAGGGAAGCCCAAGATTGGAATGATTCTGCTTAAAAGGTTTACGCTGAAGAATAAAAACATTTTTGAAGTGTTCTGCACAGTACCTGGCACAAGTGTATTCAAAATGGCACCATGAAAGTCAAAAAATCTGGATTCACACTGAACTCAGAAGCTTACCAAATGTATAACACTGGAAAAGGCACTGAACCTCTGTGAGCTTTAGTTTCTATTTATGCAATTTGTGGGTAATAATGCCACTGATTAACATAAAGTTACTATAAGAAAAAAAAATATTTTGGTAAGCTATAAGAAATATTACATAGAGGTAATTATAGTAGAGGGTACCAGCATTTTTTTTTAACTTCACTGATAAATATATATATAGTTGATTTACAATGTTGTATATCATTTCTCCTTTACAGTAAAGTGACTCAGTTACATGTATATATATTCTTTCCCATTGCAGTTTAGCAGGATAAATGAATACAGTTTCCTGTGCTATACAGTACAATCCTGTTGTTTTTATATACTAGTTTATATCTGCTAATCTCACACTTTCAGTCCTCATCCTCCCCACCTGATCTCCCCCCTCCTACTTTATGTCTGAATCTGTTTTTGTTTCCTAGATATGTTCATTTGTGTTGTGTTTTGGATTCCACATATAAGTGGTAGCACATGGTTTTTGTCTTTTTTTGACTTCACTTGAGACTACCGGCATTCTTAGTCATAGCAAAGTAGTATGAAAATATAATCCTTGAAAAAGAGGGGAAAGTCTTATGTGAGAAAAATTGAAAAACAGGTTTTTTTTTTTTAAACCTTGTTTTCCCAACAAAGGGTTTCCCTGTTAGCTCAGCTGGTAAAGAATCCACCTGCAATGAAGGGGACCCCAGTTCTATTCCTGGGTCAGGAAGATCCACTGGAGATAAGGTAGGCTACCCATTCCATTATTCTTGGACTTTCCTGCAGGTTCAAATGGTAAACAATCCACATACAATGTGGGAGACCTAGGTTCAATCCCTGGGTTGGGAAGACCCCTGGAGAGGGGAACGGCTACCCACTCCAGTATTCTGGCCTGGAAAATTCCATGGATAAAAGATCCTGGTGAGCTACAGTCTATGGGGTTGCAAAGAGTTGGACATGACTGAGTGACTTTCAGTTTCCCAACAAAATGTACTTAATCCATTCAAGAGTTTGAGTATGGAATATGTACCACCTGGGAAATGGTAACCCTCCAAATGTAAATCAGGAATATAGACTCCATAGACATTAATAATACAAGTCTTAATTCCTATGAGAACTCCACAAAGCCAAGTTGGACATAGTTTCACAAGCCAACAGTTGCTGGAAATACTACCCAAAGAAACAGAAACCCTTGATTACTTAGTTCACTACTTAAACATCACTACCGTATGAGCCACGAGAAGCACTGAAGCTCACAGAAGGTCAATGACTCGTGTGGTGTTACATATTCAGCAAACGTATGAGTCTGACATGGAGCCACGTTTGGTGACTTTCCGGTAGTCCGGCTGTTTCCCAGCAGCCATTCTGAAAATACCTCTTCAGCATTTGCATCTCTTTCTGCAACAATCGCAGCCAAGCAATCCATTCCAATTCCGTTGGTCGGCAATCTACCAGTTGAAAGCAAATCATCTGGAAAGCTTTTAAAAGGTACAGATCCTGAAATTCTGATTCAGTGCACCCAGGAGAGGGCCCTGGGACCCATCTATGCAAAATGCCTCCCAAGAAACTGTGATGTGAGCCAGAATCTGCACTCTCCAGTCCACTCTGTATATGGGCTGTGCAACCAAACTCCAATGATGTTAGGCTAAAATCTGGCCCACTTCAGTTTCCATGTTAGGCCTAGTTTTACATTTGGGACCACACACAACACAAGCCTAATCTGTCTCCAGGCCCTTCAGGTGACCTATATTATGTTTCAAACTTGATAACCCTAAATTGACAAACTTGATAAACCCTAAATACACATCTTTTCATTTATATTTAGTAGCCAGAAGAGAACACCATTCTCATTTAGAAACCAATGGTGGGCTTCCCTGGTGGTACAGTGGTTAAGAATCCACCTTGCAATGCAAGAGACATGGGGTCAATCTCTGGTTTGGGATGATCCCACGTGCCATCGGGCTACTAAACCTGTGCACCACAATGATTGAGCCTGTGCTCTAGAACCCTTGTGCCCCAACTACTGAAGCCCAAACACTTTAGAAGCCATTCTCTGCAATAAGAGACACCACTGCAATGAGACCTCGCACTGCAACTGCAGAAAGCCCCCACAGCATTGAAGACCCACCACAGCCAAAAATAAATATTAAAAAAAGAAACCAATGGTGATACTCCATTACAGAAACAATATTCTCATTAACACAGCTTAAGTGGGCCTTTTACTAAACTGACAACAGACTATGTTTACTTCTTTGTAATACCCTTACTAAAAATACTTACTTTGGAATGTATTTATTTTGGAGCAATTTTAGGTTTACACAAAAGTTGCACATGTAATACAAAGAGCCCCCATGGCCCCCTCCCCCAGCTTGTTTTCCAAATGTTAACACATACAGTACCACAATACATCTACCTGAACCAAAAATGAGTTTTCTTAACTACATCTTTTTCCAGAAATTGCCTTCCTCAACACATTTCTTTCATCCTGAACAGACTTTGGCTTTTCTTATGTTTTATTACATGATGCAACTCTAATGAAAGTGAAGTTGCTCAGTTGTGTCTGACTCTTGGCAATCCCATGGACTGTAGCCTACCAGGCTTCTCAGTTCATGGGATTTTCCAGGCAAGAGTACTGGAGTGGGTTGCCATTTCCTTCCCCAGGGGATCTTCCTGACCCAGGGATCAAACCCAGTCTCCTGCATTGTAGGCAGATGCTTTATCCTCTGAGCCACCGACGCTTAAATTTCCTCTATTAAGATTCATAGCCATGATTTCATCTTGCAGGACTTTGACTCAAAGACTCAAACCCTGAGTTTTACAAGATGGAATGCAATGCCCTATACTTGTTAAGATATTCTGAGTCAAGGTCCAGATAGACAGCATCCACTATTGTCTCTAGATTCATGCCACACTGTTATCTGGTAAGCAAGACTTCTATACTTTTATTTTATGTGACAGGTTTGGGCTTGGGTAACATAAACCTCCCTAGAGTTGCATTAAGCAACTTGTGATGCACACACTCATCGATTAATTACTAACCACAAAAATTATCTGTACATCCAATTACTGTTATTCTTGCAAAGATATTTCCCTACTTCAGAAAAGTTCAGACACATTGCACCTCTACATTTTTCATCTGTACTAGCCTAATACACCTTTGCACGTTGTTCTTCAGTTGAGAGGTGTAGATAGGTGCACAGTGGAAGGAGTCCATGCCCAAAATGACTCTGAAATCCTTAGGGGAAAAAAGGAAACTCTCTTAACAACTACTGACCATTCACTGAAGCAATTAATGACCCTGTGTGAAAACTGATGCCTACAGGAAGCCCACAGAGAATTCCTGATGAGTCACAAACTAAAATCAGAAGAAAGAGAAAATTAGGATTGTAGTATTATTTCACTGTCAAGAAAAGGGTTCCATTCATCCTCATAAAATTAATTACTTGCTTTAGTTATTATAAAAAGTTTAGTGAACAGAATGGCTCATGTACTATTAGCAAGTAATATTTAAGGGTTTAATAGCTGCTATTTAAGATAGGAATTTACTATTGAGATCCTGATTAAAAAGGATAAATTAAACATACGAACCCACAGATAGCTAAGCTCAGCTCTATCAGTCAGTGCCAGAAGATTTTTCTAAACAGCTTAGTTCTCCACAAAAGATCTGAATAATTTCCAATTCTGTTTATCTCTCAAAACCAGGCTGTGGAATTAGTTTTTAAACTGCAAAAGAGAATCGACAATGCTTTCAAGGACGGCTGCAAACTCACAGCCTTCCTATTATACGTGTGAGCTTCTTAAAACGAGAAGCCACTAAAAACATCTTTTAAAAGGCATCATAATGCCAGAAACAAAGCTCTTCAAACTCACCTCATAGTAACTCCGAACTGCATTGCAAAATGCTTCATCAGCTACAATCTGGGTTTCCCCATTGAGGAAGGCCTGGAACCGTTCTTTCAGTAACTGCAACTGTTGCTTGTTAAGCTGTAAGAAAAAAAGAAGGGGCCGGGGGAAATCAGATTAAAAAACTAGCTAATCCATGACACATAATAGTTTTTAAGAGTTATATTTGCCACGTGTGTCTAAGACTTGATACCCAGAATTCACTTATGGGTCAATTTTTTAAAGCTGGTAAATTACTGCCCCACGAACTTCGGAATACCTGATACTGAAAACAGAATACAAATTTCTGCCCCAAACAGCGTTCTTGTGATTACTACACTCCAATTTCTTTGCAGAGATAGGGGGAAAAATTTAAAATTCAAATAAGAAATTAACTGCCAGCTGTCCTGAACAGAGGGCAAGAAGGGATAAGAATTCTTGGAGGTGAGTGGACAACCAACAACTCTGAACACAGACGACAGGAAAGACAGAGAGACTCAGAGAAAGAATTCTCTGTAAAGGACATCTGTTGGATGCCAAAAGCTTGGATTATCATGAAAAAAGCATCATAATGCCTGAGCTGGGATAAAGGGATGAGGAGGTGGGGAACAGAGAGGCAATGGGGGCAGTCAGTGCATCTCCAGGAGGGCTAGGGGAAGGTAGTGACTCAGGGAGAGGAGTGTAAGTTTACAACCACATTTGCTCATCTGGGGCTATCTACCACGGTTATGGAGGGCAGGTTAGACATGGACCATGACTTACTAACCACGTCTTCTAGTCATCAACTACAAGCAGAAGCAGCTATTTCATTTCTACAGCTCACCGCAAAATGAAAGCGAGGAGCCCCTTATTGAAAAAATTAATTTCAAGGCAGCAGCAAAAGAGCATTCAACCTGGCATGGACCCTTCTAAGCAGGAGCCCATGTGGCCGCTTTAAACACAGCTCACACACACACACACACACACAAATATACATATATATATATATATTTAACTGGAGACAGAACATAGTCTTGCAGAGAAAACAACAAATCCTGAGATATACAGGGACCAGGGAGGGAGTGATCTCTCCATTTCAGTCATCCTCATCAGACTCTTAAAAGAATTCAGCCCAGTTTTGGATTCTACAGAGAGTTGTGAGGCATTTGGAAACATGCCGAAGACAAAATGATTAAAGGATTAGAAAGACTAAACAAACTGGGATGATTTGGCTTCGAAAAGAAGGCTGATATGAAGTAAGTTAAAAACTGTTCAAAAGGCTTGTTAAAATGCCATTCAAATTGGAGAGACATGCTCTTTCAAAACATGGGTTTTATTTAGGAGTCTAAAAAACAAGACAGCCTGTGAAAAAAAACCACTGCTGAGAGTAACAGACTGATAAAGAAGTGTCCTACTGTGCTCCAATGTAAAAAACCTCTTGCCCTGAGCAGTGGAGAGAGAAGAGCAGAGAGAAGAGAGAAGAGAAGAAGGTTATCCTTCTTCATTTTAGGGAAAGCTGAACCAAGCTGGAAAGCAGGAACATCAACATCACCTTACATTCTCCATTTCTATATAATGTACAGAGGATGAAAGCAGGTACCTTGTGTGTGTGTGTGTACTAGCAAGGCAAATTAAGCCCTTGCCTCTCCCTCTCTAAACACAGTTCACCAAAGGGACCAGATGGAAGGAGAATAGCAATTGCTGACAGTGAGACCGCTGACAGCACTCTAGTTGCCAAGCACTGGGAACCGCCAAGGAGGGTTTCAATTTGCAAACCAAGGGTCCAGGTATTCAGAAAATAGCGGAAAGGGACTGGGGGTGGGGGTGGGGGTGGGGGGATGACAATGACCTGGAGAGGACTTCAATGATCATTTGTCTCAACTCCCTCATTTGAGAAATAAATATTATTCAAAACCTAGAAATCGGGGTATCTTCATTCAGTTTTCTTCTATCAGAGGCATTTGTTCATCAGGAACTCCTTTAAATCTCTGCAGTTTCTAGTTTGCCAGTTTTTAGGTTTAGCCATTGTTGTGATGAGTTATGTTCTGGTGATTACGACATGGGACATTCCTGAATACGAATGGAGAGAAGGAGATTTGCACAAACCATCTTCTTAGAAACTCTTAACAATGCTAATGTCCTTCACAAAACATGCCAGAGCAGTAGGCTTCAACTTTTTTATTGATAAATATTACTGCAGTTACATTTAAGACATAAAATGATAGCTATATTCTAACAATATACAAACAGCCAATAAGAGGATAATTTATAGTACAAAGAAAAGGTCTACAATTCCATATAAAAGAGACAGGGAAGAAAAAAGGCAATTTAAAATCTAGCAGTGGGAAAGCAGAAAGCAGTTTCCAAAAAGCTATTTGCATTATCAAAATAAACTGTATTATACATCAATAGATAGAGGCCAATGTAATAGGCCCAAGAAATAGATTCAAATACAACTAGAAGTATACTATAAAATACCTTTATGGCACCTCAAATCAGTAGTAAAAGATGGTTTCTTCAATCAATGGTGTTAGAATAACTAGGTAGCCATGCGGAAAAAATTAAATTGAACCATAACACAAGGTTACAGCCCAAATGAATTACCTGTAATTTCTTATACCATAAAGGTATAAAGAAATGGGAGAATTCCTTTAAACACCAATATGAGAAAGTTTTTTTTTTTAAACCATGAATCAAAATCTACAGGTCCTAAATATAACTCCATAAACATTAAAAATAAATTTAGTATTGTGGCAATCATTTTTCCACATAGATATGTGTCAAACAATTACATTATATACTTAAACTTATAAAATATTATACGTCAATTATATATTTTTTAAATAAATAAATTTAGCATTCACAAAATCACTGAGGGAAAAAAAGGCCAGGAAAAAAATACTTGCAACTCATATCCTAAAGAACTAATTTTCAAACACACATATATTGGAAATTGACAAGAGTCTAACCTATAAGCCAACAGAAAGATAGACTAAATGGATACACTCAGAGAAATGAATCAAGTCATGAATAACAATTTACATTTTTCTTTTTCCAACTGAAATCTACATGAGAGCAGAAGGATTTGGGAAGATGATGGAAGAGGAAGCACCAGAAATCTGTCTCCCACCTAAACAACAACTGCATTGGCAGTATGTGTCTGATGTCAATATTTTGTAACTCTGGAATCCCTTTAAGGCTTTCAACATGACAAGGAAGGCTTGAGTTAAACCTGTAGTTAATTTTAACCAATTTCAGCTCTGCACAGTAGCACTTCCTACCCCCTCAAGACCCATAGAATCTTAAAAAAAAAAAAAAAAGCCACCAACCCAACTTTTCATAAATTACTGTTTTTCAGTCACTAAGTCATGTTTGACTCTTTGCAGCCCCATAAACTGCAGCATGCCAGGCTCCTCTGTCCTTCACTATCTCCTAGAGTTAGCTCAAATTTATGTCCATTGAGTCGGTGATGCTATTTAGCCATCTTATCCTTTGTTGCCCTTTTTTCCATTTGCCTCACTATCTCTGAACATCAAGGTCTTTTCCAATGAGTCTGCCCTTCACATCAGGTAACCAAATTATTGGAGCTTCAGCATCAGTCCTTGAGATGAATAATCAGGATTGATTTCCTTCAGGATTGACTGGTTTCATCTCCTTGCTGTCCAAGGACTCTCAAGACTCTTCTCAAGCACCAGAGTTCGAAAGCATCAATTCTTCAGTGCTCAGCCTTTTTTATGGTCCAACTCTCACATGTGTACATGACTACTGGAAAAACCATAACTCTGACTATACAGACCTTTGTCAGCAAACTGATGTCTCTATTTTTTAATGTTCTGTCTCAGCTTGCCACAGCATCCCTTCTAAGGAGCAAGTGTCTTAATTTCATGGCTGCAGTCACCATCCACAGTGATTTTGTAGTCCAAAAAAAAAAATCTATCCCTCTTTCCACTTTTTTCCCCTTTATCTGCCATGAAGGGATGGGACTGGACGCCATGATCTTAGTTTTCTGAATGTGAGTTTCACGCCAGCTTTTTCACTTTCCTCTTTCATGCTCATCAAGAAGTTCTTTAGTTCCTCTTCACTTTCTACCATGTAAATAACACTACATTCAAACAGTGGTAATTCTATTAGCTTTATAAAAAAAATATGACCAAGTTCTCCTACGTACTGATATGAAAAGATCTTCAAAATATCTTGGGAAAGGAAACAATATAGAAAAGTATGTAAAATAAGCCACCACTCCCATTTTTATTCTGAAATATCAGAACATTTATTTGCTTCCATACCCAGAAACTATGGAAGAAGGATGTCCTTGGACACTGGACATATGGAGAATAAGGATGAAAAAAATTTTCAACTTGTATCACTTTATTCATTTTAAGTTTTAAATCACAGGATGCTTTTTATATACTCCAATTTTAACTAATTTTCCTTTTAAATTAAGTTTTAATAGCCACTTTACAAATTTTTAAACTCAGAACAATTATAACCCCCTGCACATAGTTTAAATCAGATCATCCTGCAGAAAGGTTGAACAAACCAAATGACTTTTTTCATTTTTCCTTTCAGGTATAAGATTTGAACTTGACTGTATATTCCCCACACTTTTTTTTTTTTTTAATTTCAAGGTTGAGGACTTCAAAGAAACAGAAAAAACCTGTAACAATCATGTACTTAACATTCTACTTAATGCATTACCATATCAAGTAGTCGCTCAGTTTCCATTTGAGCCTATTAAAGCTAAGACACACACATACACACGCTACCTTTACACCTCACAATGAAGTTCATTTTAATTTTAGACAGCTATGAAGGAAAAAGTGTAGTGTTGGAGAAGACTGTTGAGAGTCCCTTGGACTGCAAGGAGGTCCAACCAGTCCATCCTAAAGGAGATTAGTCCTGGGTGTTCATTGGAAGGACTGATGCTGAAGCTGAAACTGCAGTACTCTGGCCACCTGATGCGACGAGCTGACTCATCTGACAGACCCTGATGCTGGGAAAGGTTGACGGCAGGAGGAGAAGGGGAGGACAGAGGATGAGATGCTTGGATGGCCTCACCGACTGAATGGCCATGGGTTTGAGCCAGCTCTGGGAGGTGGTGATGGACACGGGGCCTGGCTTTT